CCCCCAAACTATATTGCAATAGTCAAAATGGGGTGCAACAATAGCTTTATATAGAAGGGATTGTAAATGAGTGAGAATTAAATCACTGGATTTCTTAAGAAAAAATAAGCCTGGAAGAACTTTAGATCTAATATGATCAATATGCGTATTCCAATTTAAAGTTTCATCAATGTGTACTCCTAAGTGTTTACCATAAAAAAAATATGCTTATAGTATCATACTGTATAAACAATATGAATATGAAAGTTGGAAAATAGGACAGGGCCTATATTTTAGGCATAACTATTTTTAGTTGATATTAAGTACTAGGTAATTAATTTTTTTTTAGTGATGTGTTTCTTGTATCTCTATATTGGTAATAGGACCCTGATGATCGTTACATTGGGACGCCTGCATGGAGTTGTATGGAAGCCATAGAGAGTCATCCAATCACAGACAAGGCAGACATATACGCTTTTGGTTTGGTTTTGTGGGAGATGATAACACTTCTAGTGCCACACACACTGGGTAAATGCTAACTGTATTTATTATTTATAAGACTGTATTGCTTTATCAAATCTTTACTGCAACATAGTTACCAACCATCTCGCATCATGTGGGACAGTCCTGCATTTCAAAGTGATTTTGGATGAAACACGCATTTTGCAGAAACGCATGCGTAATCATAAATTAGTCTATGCGTAATAACGAATTATCACAAATTTGGGGAAAATGTATTTAAAATTAAAAGAATTTTTTTTGTTTGTATACAGTTTCTCGATCTGCTTTTGGGTCGTCTCCATCGAGTTGGCTACCACTTCAATCCAAATCCAAGTTCATTCCCAAAATTAAACATTTTCCTTTTATTCAAACTCATTTTGTATAGTGGCTTTATTTAAACGTATTTTGTGTACCATCCATTTTAGTTAATTGAAAGTAGTGTCATGGAAGTAACGTGCACTGATCTTTTTCCAAACGGCTTTTAGGTCGTGAGCAGCGACCAAAACAACCTAGCTAACCAGGTATTTAGTAGACCAGAGGAGGCATGTGCGGTTACGTGTTCATTGTCACAGCCAACCATTGATTATGTGACTGAAACTGCAGTTGTCATTTAGCATTAACACGCATAGTCAATATTGTATTGTTAGCACTCCCTGAAATCGTTTTAAAACAGCTTATAAATGCATGCTCAGATCGTCGGAGCACCTGGGGGCTACATCCCCTCTACCCCACCCAGCCAACTGGTAGTCACGCACTTCAAATCTCTCAGGTTGGCAACTATGCTGCAAAAACGTTAAAACAGAATAACTGTACCCCCTGCATGCTAATGTGTTGGAGGTCATGGTTATTATCATTGTTGTCGTCATAATTCTCGTACATTATATGCAATACTTATGTATGTGTATGGTTAACAGATGACGTCATAATTTATTCACCTTGCGTTGCGGAGTACGTTAATTTCAGGATTGTACGTGCTCGACGTACGTTAGTTACGGGTTTGCGCATGCATATTTCGATTAGTTTACAAAAGGAGCAGGACTATTGCGTTAAGGAAGGAAGGGATTGAGAATGTTTCTGTACATTATTATTATTAATATTATTGTTATTATTATTATTGTCTTATCTTTAGCTTACCTTCATAAGAATCGCTAGACAAAATATGGGGTTTGCTAGCAAATCTTTTGCTTGATCATGGCTGCTAGGAAACTTTCCACTTTTTAAATATAAAATAGCAATTCTTATGAATAAAGATCTTAGCATCAAACTTTATGAACAGTGATACAGTACTTATCAATATTGAAATTTATAATGATTAATGTACACTGGTTAATAACTGAGACAAAATAAATAATAGGATAAAAGAAGTATATAATTATTGATTAATTATTATATTATTGTAGATTATGAGTCAAGTGAAGATGAAGAAAGCTTTGATGAAGATGCAGAAAGCTTTGATGAAGATGCCTCACAGTGTTTGTTTGGAACTAGGCCTCCTCTGCCAGACTGTAACTTCGGCCCTGAATACCAACCACTACTGGAGCTCATCACCACCTGTACAGATGAGAACCCTGACCTACGCCCATCAGCCTCATTAGGCCTAGAAGCATTGCAATCAATAGACACAATATGAGAAATGAATGTACATTACTGTACTTTCAATGGAAAAAACATTTATTTACACAATTGATGAACTTAAATACTATCATGTATCAAACAGAATTTATTTTATTACGTTACACATACTTTTTTTTTAAACCAAACACTTCTCAAGTGTTGCTTTCATTTTGATAGCTGGTATATAATTTGAAACAAAACCCCTACTAACAGTATTCTCCCAATTGAAAGTGTGAGGGATATCCCTTTTGAGTGGGGGTTAATGTTTCAAAAAACAACACATAGTCATAGCCTAGGCTATGTTCATTATTGAAAAAAGTCCAGCCTAGACTACCTAGGCCTAATCAGTGTTTTTACCAGTAAAATTGACAGCTAAAACTGCACTATAAGTAAATATACATCATAATGAGATGGGTATATTCACAGGTTGTGATTAGATATGAACTCTGTCAATGTTATTTTGAATATCTCATCATTACATTTACATCAGCAGCATTTATAAATTTAATTCATGTACTCTAGATGCACAGATTATGATTAAATAATATTTAAAGTAAGTTGAACTCGAAATAAAGGAGAGAGGCCATGATTCTCTAATCAGAGAAAGTGTTATATGTCATTACTTGGAGTTTAATAATACAGTGTACTGTATTATTAGTGTAATATAGTGCACATTGCACTGACTATCAATTCAATTCAAAAGGTAGAGATTAACTTAAAAATACAGTACTAATAATGCTATTCTAAGTGTAGATGCATGGTGTATTCAACAAAATGGCCAAGATTAGCACTGTATCACATATCTTGGTTTAATAAAAATAAAATGTGCACTTTAGTGATAGTATTAAAACTAATGTTTGCACAATCTGAACAGATCCTTTTAAAAAAGTCAATACTACTATCAATTTACAAGCTGTAGAAGACTGTATACATTGAGCACTATTCAGGGATCCCAAGTCTCCCGGAACTCGTGGGAGTCTCCCGGAAATCAGGGCGACCTTCCACACTCCCGCAAGCATGTATGTCCCAGAAATTAACCTGTCTCCGCAAATTCATAATTTTGCATGTTTTCACTACCTTATTATCAATTTTTCTTCATTTGAGCAGTGCTGATGGGTATCACATTGTGCAGCAAAATTTAATGTGTTAAGAAATCTCATAAACCAGATCAGTGGCGGATTCAAGGAAGGCAGCCACTCCGGGCCCCATAAATATTTCAAAATTTATAAAAAAAAAAAAAAATGGGTTAGAAAGAAAAATCAAATTTACGTCATTGAGGGCCATATCCGGCCATCTAGAGGTGCCATAATCATAAATTTTCTTACTCAGCTCCAACCATGGTGGGGTTGAGGTGGTCTAGAGCCTCGATTGTAGATGACACATGTAAAGGGAAGATTTCCCTTTGTTAGCTACCATCTCGTGTGAGGAAAATAAAATTATGAATCTGTGAAAGTACCTTTCCGCTTCCCCTTCCCCCATATCTCCCGGAAATGACTTCTTCCAACTTGGGACCCCTGTACTCTTGACAAACTATTTAGAAAGGACTTTTTTCAGATTGCCAATCAAACATAACTACTGACCAATCAGAATAGGGCAAGAAATATGCGCTTGTCAACAAACACACCTGTTTACCTACATTTACGCTGCCATTATGAGTGACCTAAGCACCAATATCCAAGGGACGAGGTTCAGCGAAATGTCCATTCTGAAGAACATGGAGATTATATCTCGATTGTTAAATCCAGCTTCAGTTATCATTGTTAAATATTTTATGTTGACTGATTAAATGACAACACATATGTATACACTTAGGTTTAGTACCATCATCAAGGTGTTGAAATGGGCATCATCTTGATAAGAGATCCAGGTCCGAATTTGATGTAACAGATTCATTCATATCCAAGGTTTCTATGACAAAAAAAAATTTAGTAATAAATTATGGTGTAAATATGGGTTCCAGTTTTTCGGGGAAATGGCACAGGTGAAGTGTCCTATAGTTTTTATATTTATAGACTTGGTATGATGAACTAGATAAAAAATTAATATATTTAGCATTTCATTGAATGTGATATGTTGCTAGAACATAATCAATCATTCCATATTTGTGAATAAACTGAAATAACCACTGATATCCACATGTACAATACAAATAAAAGACTGCATCTTACTTGATGTGTTTGGATCTAGACCTTCAATGTCTACCAGTGACTCTGATAATTCTGAAATGGAGAGATTGACAATAAAATTATTTAAATACAGTAATAAGAAAAATATTATAATTAATAAAAATGGCAATTCTACACAGGCATGAGTGAACCCACTTGCTCGACACCTGGGACAAGTATTTTTTACGGTCGGGCAACAATAATTTTAGGGACCACTTGTCCGTAGACAAGCACTTTTGGAATAGGCTACTTCACCATGTAATGCGTAATGATTACACAGTACAGTACTTATAAAAAATCCGACTCTTGACAATACGCAGCATATTTTATTAACAAATTGTTTGCGCACAAAGAGATTAGTTGATTATTACAGTATAGTGTACATTCAATGGAGCTTTTCAAAGTTTAAATCACAACTTGCCATTCAGAACCAGGCCAACAATTGTAAAGTATTTCATTTGAATTAATTTAAATTTATGCAGAAAATTGTATGAAAATAGGTGCGCAAAACCGTAACTGCTGTACTGTCCTGCGTAATACTCTGCTTTTATGAGTCATGGGCAAAATTTCCAGCGAAATTGCACCTTATCTTAAAGGCTTATTTTTTTCTGTGGGAATATATAGTACAGGCATATACAGCACAGTCAAAACGTAACATACCGGTCTTAATCTTCTTTACAGGTATGTCTTCAGTGGTGTCGCTGAGTGCAGCCTCGGGGGTTGTTGCAGGCCTCTTTGGTGGGGAAGCAACTTTCTTGATGGCATCCTCTTGTGCTTTCTTCTTTATAGCAAGTTTTATCTGGGCTCTGTTAGGAAAACATCATGATTTAATATGCAGTATAAATATTTGTCAACAATTTCAGGTATATACAGTACTGTACCTTAAATGAACTTGAGACCATGAATAAAAATGTGGGCTACATCATTTAAATATCAAGAAAGTTACAGGAAATGTACCACATTTTTATATAATTTTAATATTGAAACAGTAGCTTTATTATATCGACATTCTTATATGGCGCTCTATAAGGAACAGTCGCCTTACAAACCTTACATTTCAAAAGAAAAAAAAAACAAACAAGTGAAGGCCTAACAAACAGCTTTTGCTACTGTAGTTCTATCTAGCTTCATCAGATGAATGAAGTGGAAATCAAAATTTTAGTCCTTAGTCAAAGGAGGGATTAAAAAGGAGAAGCAAACATGAATACAACACGAGTAAATCTGTCACATATTTTTTCAAACATAAAACATTACGATTTTTTTTTTCTGGAGAGGATATAAATATGTATTAAAAAAATCAAGATTTCATCAGCATAGCAATACATAAAACTGACTAACATACAAAAAACAGTCTTAAAAGTGATATTAAAACTACTGTAGTTGGAACATTTACAATGTCAGCACTGATAACATATATATATTAACCCCTATACCGTATGATAATAGTGGGGTCTCTCTACAAAATGAAGATGCATCGTTGGTAAGATTATTTTCAGATAATCACCAATATAGGTCTACTGTAACTTAAGTCAAATTTATTATCAGGCCCGTAACCAGGGGGAATTTTGGGGGTTCAGCTGAACCTCCCTTTTTGACCAGTTTACCACATAGTAGTATATTATCATAACTTTGTTTATTAAAGCAACATGTCTAAGTTAAACGTAGCCGATAGGAAACTCCCCTTCCCATGAACCTGGTTATAGGCCTGATTATAAGAGTTTTTGAATGATTTATTAATTATATTTTATGATAAATTTAGGGCCTACTTTTTTAAGCCAATTTTCTTAGAGGATAAAATTTCTTTGTCCATATTTTTATTACTGTTGTTCCACGGGTACAAGCCTACCTCAGGTAGAAGCCCGCCCTCTACGTTAGACCCAATTTTACGTACCAGTCTTTCCTCAGGCAAAAGCCCAGAGTATCATTGGAATGAGTTAGCTTAGCTGACTTTTACAAATACTCTAAACAAAAATTGAATATTACCTTTGAATTTGGCATGCAGTGCAGAGCCTTTTAAATGAAATGGGGATTCCCCAGCTTAAGTCCATCCCCAAATTCAGCCAAATTTTGTGTTCAAGGGGGGTGGGCTTACATGAGAGGAACTACAGTATATGTGCTTCCAGTCTTTGTTTATAAAAGTTAAATGTGAGACCGATACCCAGGTTCCCATAAATCTAAACATCAAATGCTCACATATTTTGGGTTATTCTTATGCTATAAACTCAAATTTTGATATTCCAACCATGTGACATATTTCCTTCGTGGCAAGACCTCACACTTATACTCTGATCATCTTATAAATTCTTACACTGTTCTTGTTTTAATCACTTCACTGATTTTTACTAAATCTTCACCAAACTTCTTGATGGCTGTTTGTAGCATCTCTATCTCTCCTTCTGTCCATTTCGAGCTGAAAAATAATCACATCCTACAATTAAAACAAATGATATAATGCTATGTAAAAAATAAGAAAATGTTTTAGTGCACATCAACTGAACAATCAAATACGAAGAAAGCAGCAGTTAAATATTGGGCCTGAGCAAAGAAAGAAATTGTAAATATTTCTAATTTTATTGATATAATGAAATTTGTAAATGTATTTTAAAATGTTTTATATGATATTTAATAACTGGATTGATGTTTTATAAAACAAATCTATTTCTATGTTTATATATTATGTATTAGGCCTATATTTGAATTTTGTATAACTGTTTGTATAACAATTTTGTATTGCTACTATGCTTGTTGTTGTCGTGAGGAGAGCGCTCCTTCATATTACAGTAGTTGATTTATTTTCAGCTTTTCAGCAATTCTGCCACATGGCAGCAATATTTTTGCTCTGTTTTCACCTATGTATGGCATAATAAATTAATTGCCAATAAAATTAAATGAAAATGAAATAAGAATTGAGGAATGGATGAATACCTTCCTGGGGATGGTTCAGCTACTGGATGTAGCTGCATTGTGAGTTCTCCCAGCTTACTAAATGCTGCCCCAGCTGCAGAAAATATTTCACCAACCTTTTTAGAAATAAAAAATTCAAAAAATAACAAATAAAAATATATAGTTTATACAATACATGTTTCTGAAGTCTATAAATCACGATGTTTTTACAACATTAGCAATAATGGTATAGACCTAATTTGGAATTGTATACTGTACAATAAGGCTAGGCTTGGGATCACTTCCTGTCTTCATATCAATAATGCTAATGAGTGAATGTTAGCCGTCACATAACTCCGATTTGGAGCAACGCTTGACTTGCCTAGCCTAGGTTTATCATACTGAACAATGCAACTTTGTTCTCCTTCGAACAAATAGTTAACACGTACAGCTACATGCTATGCAGTATCTAAACACCTAACTAAAATTATAATAATAAGTATAACTTGTGTTTGAGACTTACTTTCGCTGCAGAACTCATTTTAAACTTATTTAATTTGCCGCTTGAAACGCCGAAGTATTTGTTTTGTTTCTTGGGTTCACGAACAATTGATAATTGGCAGGCCACCATTTACCTAAACAGAGCGTTATACTGTTAGTAAATTGATGTCTATATACACTTTGACGGTGGTTTAGACAGATCCACAAAAGAGGTCACCATTGGAACAGCAATGCAGCATGGCTTACTCGTTTCCACCGCGAGGATTTTCTGTATTTCAAAATAATGTTTCTGCTGCAGAAAAATGCGACGAAGGAAATGCTTCTGTACCGGAAAATCCACAGTGTTCCAGTGGTAACGGAGAAATAACTCACCAATTGAATGACAATCAATATTTTGGCTACCCTCCTCCGAGAGTTGTCGGCCCCTGGTCCAGGCCACCTCATCCCCATCCATTTCCCAATAATTTCCGTGGAAAAAGAATGCTAGGGCCTAGGCCTAGACATTGTTTTCCACCATTCTCTAGAGATCCGTTCCATAGACAAAATTTTGATAATAATTGGCCTCGCCCTTATGTACACGAGGGACCTCCTCACTTGCATGGAATAGAGCAATTTCAAAATAATGGTTATCCTAATTCGAGTTTCCAAATGAGACACCCAAACAGGAAAAACCACCTGCGAAATAATAACGTTAACAAAACTGGACCAAATTTTGGCCAGTCAGCAAAAAAGGTAAGAGGAAGACTTGAACAAGTTGAGCTACCGACCATGAAAATGGTACATGATAATAGTAAATAAGTTTTAGACTGAGTGTGGCCTACCATGGTAAAGTAAAGGTTTTTAATTGTGCAGATGACCACAAAAAGCAGCTCATGTTTGCACGGAAAATCGTTAAGAAAATAGGTGCGCAGAATTGTAATTATTGCATAATATATTTTTTATATGTTAGGATTTTAAAAAAAAATTTCTTCAAAATATCTCAAGAAATCGACCCTGATCGGACTGATTTCTAGGCGAAATTCTTGTGCGGAGTATACTGTACAGAATTATTAAATTTTTTAACAATAATTTTATAACTTATGATGATGCAAACTAGATGGTTTTACTTTAAAAGTTTTGGGTTAAATATTTTCAATAGTTGATTATATTTTTCAGAGGAAGTTGAATGCCCATACTCATCAAGGAAACTGGTCAGATAATGAAGCTGTAATAAACAAATTTGATTTCTTCTGTGATATGTGTGATAGAGGATTCAAAAGTGATGAAACCTACCAAGAGCACCTCAGGTCGCATGTTAAGGTAAGTTCACATTTTTTAGTGTCCACAATGCATTTTTCCAAATTGAGTGTTTTGAATTTTCTGTTTTTTCCTTTTTTGTTGTATTTAATACAATTTTATTCTTTAAGTTGGTAAATTTTTGATGTTTGGGAATTTTTGTGTGTTTAATAGTTTTTAATGCTTATATCTTAAGTTTTTCTGAAATCAAACGTTATTGTCGTTCTAAAATTCTTTCATTTTTTTTTTTTGTATACTGTATTCTTCGATGAGCAAGAAAAAATAAGCCCATCTGACTGTTGCTGCACACGGTGATATCCACGGGTTCTGTTTTCAGTGTTATCCATCGGCACTGACTTACATGATGCAATTGATAATGTAGCTTGAGAAGGGACAATTGTCTGCTTGGGTGGAGGTCGTCCCGTCCCGATTTCAGTGGACTCCTGCAGCTTGCAGGAGACTTGCAAATCTCTAGACTGTATTTGAAGTGATCCAAATATCGGTGCAAACAACTACATCATTTTCTTTCCTGTTCTCTATGCACTTTCTAATGCCAACAACAGATCAGTACCTGTATGCATTCTGGATCTGCCACTGTATTCATAGATGGTTTTCTGAAAGATGTAAACAGGGGTTCCCAGAATTTCTTCCACTCATTTTTTGTAGCTACAAGGATGTTCTCTACACTGACCATATCACCCAACAGACTGTTCATGTTTTATAAGTGTTGGACATTGAGCATGTTTTTATTGAATATTTAAACATAATTACTGTATAATTTTTACATCTGTGTGCTTGTTGTTATTACATTGTAATGATGTTGATGAATGTACTGTAGTACATTAATCACCATAAAAATATAATTATTCTACAGTGTGATGTAAAAGGGTGCAAATTTGAAGGTGCCTTCAAGATTGTTAAACAGCACAAGAAGATGCAGCATGCTTCAAACTCCAAACCTATCGGCTCCCTTGAAACCCCCGAAGAGGTGGAAAAATGGAGGCAGGAGAGGAGGAAGTAAGGTCTATGACTAGATAAATGCAATTGTAGTGATTTTATAGATTGTGTTGATATTGGATTGAATAACTTTCTGCTTGTTCTGAAGTTATAATTAACAGCCAGAATGAATACACATAGCAAATTTCTGGATGTATTTCTAAATCGGGAAGATACAAAGTTTTTAATTTAGGACCTTTTGCTACACCGTGCCCTACATAAGGTCTCACAAAACAACAGTGTAACACTGTAATGTATGTAAACACAGGGGTTTGTGGGACAACATGTGTGTTTGTAGGACCCTTCCTGGCACTGTTCTTATTGGTCGGTTGTCAAGTGGGATTACCTGTCTGGAAAGGTCCATTAAGCCAATGCAAATACTATACATCAAATTATATTTTTATTTTCCTAGCACAGTTGACCTGATTATTCTGAATTTCTTAATTTCTTGCACTTTGAGCTCTTGTCTATATTATTTCTATATTTAACATGATGTGCATGAAACGGACCGTTTTTAATGACGATCCGTACAGACTGCCACCGATAATCAGCAGACGGCATCATCTAGCGCTCCCAGAGCGGTGTTGGATTCGTTGTACGATAGTCGCACTGAGTGCCTGGCTTAAATGATAACTGACCAGTGACAGCAGATGAAACTTCAGGCCACTCGTAAACAATTCATTACACTCGTATGAAATAGTGTAACCGGCATTATTATACTCCTCGATTAGAAGCTTAGTCTTACTGCTATGCTACGTTCTACATTGACTTCACATCTATCTCTCTTTCTTCAAAAAATGTAGGAAGTATCCAACCATATCCAATGTCCAAAAGAAGGAAGCAGAAGTGAAAGAAAGAATCAGGTCTGGAAATGTACTCAAAACAAAAGAGTTTGGGTAAGTTTTGGTAGGAATACATATCTTAACTTTTGTGTTATTGTCACCCAACCAATGTTATTTGGCTACAGTATTTTTCTCTATGTTATAGTGGTAAAAATGATGTTTTTTACCCTACCTGACATGTCATTGTACTGAATACTTACTACATTCTCAAATACATGCAAAAAAAATTTCACAAGTGATTCAATGGGAATTGAACCCACGACCTCCAGATAATTAGCCTGGTGTCATAACCATTTAGAACACCAAAACTTTAAAATCATAATTAAGTGGTTATTTCCCAACTTGATAAAGATGCAAAACGCATAGCAAGTTTTCAGCTAAATCAGTCCTTGCTCCTTGACAAAATAGGCTAGCTTTGTTGGCAAGTTGGCAAAATTTGCATGATATTAATTGCACCATCTTGTTTTCCTACAGCATTTTCAACATTCTACAAGTGATCCCAGGCACTCAATATAGTATATATATCCGTCAGAACATTAGTTATATAAATATGATTTTTTTTCAACTATTCTCAAGCTTGACCTTTTCACCCCAAAATTCAGTCACCTTTTCCTTGACCAATATGTTCTCTGTTTTTCTCTGTTTTACATTTTGTGGTGGTTTTCAATCTTAATTCAAATATACAATTCATTATTCACTTTCATGTTGTGGTTTTCATTCCTATTCAAATATACAAATCATTATTCATTACCATGGCAACCTGACAGACTGTGGCTCTGACCCAATCGGGGTGATGCTCCAAGAAGATTTTTATCGATTAGTTATTCAGATCCAGACCACTCCACTAAATGTTATGATCATCCAATATATCATGCTAACAAACTACAAACAACAGTGAATACATAAAGTTTATACACACTAATACAGGGTTGTAGCTGTAGAAACTAAGGGTGGGTGATAACATCTTTAAACTCTAAATAATAAGAGTGGATTTTAAGGAGGGAAAAGTGGGTTAATAAGGGTGGGTGGAGGGCCATGAAATTAGCTTTAGACTGGGTGGAAAACTTCAAGGCTGAGTCGGCCCGCCCACCACTGCCCACCATAACCACATCCCTGCTAATACTGTATTATGCTCTCATTGTACAGTCATATTTTAATTTAGGTAGTTTTTACCTGTTAATGGACAAACCTTTCATATGCTATATGAATTTTCCTTTTACATAAAACCAAAATTGCTTAATTTTTTAAACAGTTTCACTGACTACCAGTCAGCATCCTAACCCAAACAGCGAAACTTGTTTCTATGTCCGTATTCGACTGGTCGTTCTTTGTTAAACCACGCCCACCTGCGCAGTGGTAAAATCCTACTTAACGAAGACGACCAGTCGAATAGAAAACTAATAAATACTCGACAAAACAAAATGGCTGCATAGTTAGCGCGATACATGCTGCGTATAATCAAGGCTGCTTTGGATTGTGGGAGTATGGATTTTCCTAAAAAAATGTTTTCATCAAGTTTTGGAATCTGTTAGCCTACAATTATTTTGACTTCAATGTGGGTAAACATCATTATAATTTTTATTTCCTGAAATTTAATCTAAATTATATTAACGTAAATGTTGTTGCTAAACTGAAAAATCGGCCATATTTTTTTTGTCACGTGCATAACTTAACGCTGATTAACGCAATTTGGTTACGTTAATTTTTGTTGTCAACGAAGTCTATTTTACAAACCAATCGAATGAAAATAATACTCAACAAAAATTCATGCTCATTGAAATGAACCAGCTGAATAAGCCCAATCAAACCTTACATAATTGAATTTTTTTAATTTAGTTTTTTCAAGTGCAAGTGTGTAATAGCATATGTTACGTTTAATCATGACTCGCTCATTTTTTTTTTTCTTTCAAGGAAAATGAAGCATAAACCTGAAACACTAGAATCAGATCAGCAGAAAAAAACACAAAAAGGTAAGATAAAAAAATCCAATAGATATTCAACCACAAAATTAAACAAATTGAAGCACTGATAATCAAATAATTCAACTTGTGTGACTGGCTCTGTCGTTTGTTGCAAATTGGCACAATAACCCAAAACGTTTGAGAATCAGAATTGTGAAGCTTTCCAGGTTTTGGCATTTTATGAAAGAAGATATTGAAAATCTAACTGAAAAATATATTAAAATTATTTTTAGAATAAAAGTGTTAATAATAAACTATTATGTTGGAGTCTTTGAAAGCTGTTTTCTCAAAACCTAAATCGCTGATATTCAATAAATTATGTATTCATAACTTTGCTAATACTCAACCAATTTCCATTAAATGATAATAATAATAATAATAATAATAATAATGGACTTATATAGTGCATATTGTAGAGACCTCTATGCACTTAGCTTTATTACCCACGGTCATTGGATCAAACACATATGGAATAAATACTCAAATCCCGTGGGAGAATTCCATTATGTTGCAGCTGTAATCAGTGCATGTGTTTGAACCTACCAGGTACCCACTTGTACTCCTGGGTGGAGAGAGACAACTGTAGGTAAAGTGCCTTGCCTAATAAGGACACCAGCAAAATACACAACAAGGGATTGAACCTCCGTTCTCAAGGTTGAGAAGCAGATACGCAAACCACTGCGCAAACCGCTCCTACAAAAGACAGTTTTAAAATGAGTTCATGCAGAATCAAATAATACTAAAAACTAAATTTTGAATTTTCCCTACCAATTGCTGGTTTTGCCAGAGCCGGTCATGCTTGATGATTTATCTAATAAACTTTATTTTAAACAAATATTAATTTATCTTCATCAAATAATGATAAAGAAACATTTTGTTCTGTAACAACTATCTGTGTAGTCATCTCAGAATAATCAATCTTTTTAGATAACAAAATTTGAACTGTATCTTTATGATAGTTGAGGAATCTCAAAGGGACGCAAGCTGTTTAGGATCCCTCGGATCATTAATGGCCGCCTATGGTGGAAGCGATTCAGAAAAAAACAATTCAAGTGAAGGTGAGAGAAAGAATAATATTTTTTTTTTTCTTTTTTTTTTTTTTATTAAATTCTTCAACAAAACATGACAATCATACATGTTAAGAATCCTAAACAAAAATGGAAATTATATTTAAAAAAATAACAAAAAATTATACATAATAACTTGGCGTGCTTAAAAAATCTATGTGTAATACCGTGTATTGTGTATTGAGTAATAAGTTTTAGATTTAATCTTTGCCTACACTATGAAATTTTATGTGACAAATTTGTCTGATGTGCCCATAATATGGTCACGATGATGTCATATCACATTTGTCACATAAAATTTTAGAGTTTGAACAGAGCTTCATGCCTATTTATATAAAATTTGCCTTCGTTTTGGACTTGGGCTTACTCAGTCTGTATAATCACTCAATTTCTTGTTGTCTTCTGCATTGTAAATTTTGAAATTCATTCCAGTTTGACCATGAACACAATTGAAGACTGAAATAGATAGGAACAGGAAATGCACACCGGAAATGAATAATGATAACATGAAACTATTCTACATTATTTCACTATACAGTTACAGTGTTCTTTTTTTTTTTTCAATTATAATATAGCCTACTGTAGCTATACTATCTATGTAGCTCAATATAGA